AGATGGGCTTAACAGATATATAGAGAATATTCTATTCAAAAATAACAGAACACACGTTCTTTTCAAGTATGCATGGAACATTTCCAAAATAGATCACGTATTGGGTCACAAAGCAAGTCTTAGTAAAATTAATAGGATTGAAATCACATTAAGAATCTTTTCTGATCACAATGGTATTAAACTAGAAATTAATTACATGAAGAAAACTGGAAAATTCACAAATATGTGAATCAAGCAACATGTTACTGTAGTACCAATGGATCAAAGAATAGAGTAAAAGTGAAGTTAACAAATACACTGAGACAAATGAACATGGAAATGTAACATACCAAAATGTATGGGATGCAGCAAAAGGTGTTCTAAGAGAGCTTAAAATTCCAATGACGCTTTTCAAAAAAATAGAACAAATAATTATAACATTTGTATGGAACTACAAAGACATCAAAATAGCCAAAGAAATCTTGAGAAAAAAGAACAAAGCTGGAGACATCATTGTTCCCTCATTTCAAACTATATCGCAAAGCTGTAATAATTAAAACACTATGGTGTTGGCATAAAAACAGACACAGACCAATAGAACAAAATAGAGAACCCAGAAAATAAATCCACATGTATACGGTTAATTAACTTATGACAAAGGAGCCAAGAATTGACAATGAGGAAAGGACAGTAAGATATGGGGTCAACTGTGAGGAAAATTTAAGTTTGATTACTGGCTCCTGGGCACTTGATTGCTTTATTTAATTGGCATGTGAGCAAAGGAAAGTGATAATTGAAGTATGTGTTCTAAAGGAACACAAACATAATGGTCACTTGTACACTGATGTTTACAGCAGCATTAGTCATAATAACTAAATCATGGAAGCAACCCAAAAGTCCACCGCTGGATGAACAGATAAGCCAAGTGTAGTATACACATACAATGGAATATTATTCGGCCTTAAAAAGAAAGGAAATTCTGACCTATGCTACAATACGGATGAACCTTGAGGACACGATGGTAACTGAAACAAGCCAGACACAAAAGGAGAAATACTGTATGACTCTACCTGTATGAAGTACTCTGTAAGTGGGTATTTACAAATCTAAAATACAAACCATCTTAGAGTATTTGACTACTCTGAGAAGTCAAAATCATAGAGATAGAAAATAAAATGGCAGTTTCCAAGGGCTCTGGGGAGGGGGAAATGGAAAGTTGGTGTTTAATGGGTATAGAGTTTCAGTTTTGCAAGATAAAACTAATTCTGGGAATGGATGCTGGTGATGGTTGCACAACAGTATGGGTATATTCGATGCCCTGAACCGTACACTTAAAAATGCTCAAGACAGCAAATGTTACATTATGCATATTTTACCACAATTTTTTTTAAAGAAGGAAAAGATAAAAATGATGACCACAAAAGCTCATCGGGTTTATTGGTACAGTGTTTCTGTTAACGAGGTCTGCAAAGTGCTTTGCAGCCATTTATTAGCTTTGGGATGTTTTGTCAAATCAGAGTACATTCTTTAGATAAGGAGTTTGGTTTGCTTTGATATTTAATGACCTTCCCTTTACCTAAGGCACAGCATTTCCAGATGTGCAACACCACCAACACCGAGCCCGGCACATAGTAAGTGCTCCGTAAACATTTTCAAATATATAACTACCGGCGAAGGCTAACATCTATTCTGAACATTTATTTAGAAGCAGGTTTATCTTGAAGCTGAGGAAGCTTAAGCTTCAAAATCTCAATTTAAGAAGCCCTTCCCAGACCCTGGGAGGGGCCTTAGCAACACGTTCATATAGTCCTATATTCATATAAAACTTGCAAAAGTGAGATTTATATTCTTTTTATGAAAGAGGGCCCCCAAAGTTATATCATCTTCAGGTCCCACAAAACCTGGATGGGCTGCTGTACTTACTGCCTTGGTAACGACTTGCTAACTCCTTTCTGTGGTTGCCTGGTAACCCTCCTGGCAGCCGTGTGTTCTCTCCATTTCTCAGATGAGGAAACTGGGTAACTTGACCACAGTTACTCCACAAGGAAGTGATCCACAAGGATTTGTCCCCTGGCATGTGGGGCTAGCATGACAATTCCACCGAGGAGGGGAGGCCAAGCCTGACTCCAGTCAATGTTAAATTAGGTGTGTACTTGATAAATACTATAATTTCACTTGCTGTAACTATAATAACGACAATGATGACTGGTCTTTTAAAATAACCTATGATTTGGGGAAACCATGTATCCTACAGGCTTCTCCAGCCCCCATCTCCATTTAATATTCTTGTTTAGTAGATGGAAGGAAATTTAGGGAAGAGCGGGGAGGAAAAGAGCAAGCCTGAAGAGGGGAACAGAAGGGACAGAGATGCAATCCTGCATTAGCAAAAACTCTCCACATGCTCTCCAGCATTTCTCCTTTTCTTATGAGGGATGTGCAAAGGCACTTCGTCTCCTAGGAGGTTGCATTTCGGTTTTATCTAGCACTTGTATCTGCTCTGGCCCCCTAGGACTTCTACTCTGGAGGTGCTATTTCTAGTCTGAAAGCTCCATAAGTCAGAGGGCAGAAAGGAATCCTTCCTGTAAACATCCTCTGGGCCACTCCCGGAAAAGGTAACCAGCAACCACTGCTTCCTGTCTTTATTCTGATTCTTGGAGCAAATAGTACAATTTTTTACTTCTCTAAGATTTCTTGAGACCCATGAGAGAACAGAACTGAAAAGTCACAGGATTAAAAAATTTCCTCCTCTTGGGATGCCTGGGTGGCTCAGTCAGTTAAACATCCGACTCTTGATTTCAGCTCAGGTCATTATCTTCTAGTTTGTGAGTTCAAACCCCATGTAGGATTCTGTGCTGATTGGTGCAGAGCCTGCTTGGGATTCCCTGTCTCCCTCTCTCTCTGCCCCTCCCCTGCTCACCATCTCTCTCTCTCTCTCTCTCTCTCTCTCTCTCTCTCTCTCTCTTTCTAAATAAATAAATAAATAAACAAACAAACAAACATCAAGAAACCTAAAAAATAAAAATAAATAACAATAAAAATATCCTCCTGTTGAGGATACCACTGTCTTCAGATTGAGAGTCTCTGGCTTAGAAACCTCCTTCACACTCCTGGCTTCCATCAAGACACTGGGCCTAGCACTGTGCCTGGCACTTGGGAAGTGTGCCAACTGACTCCCACCCCTCAGAGAGGTGCTGTCAATCAACTCAAAGGCAGCATTCACCCACCCACCCAGATTTCTGTCCCTTGCCAGTAATCAAACCTAAATTCTTCTTCATGGTTCACCCCGTATCTTACTGCCAAGGACAAGGGCAATGTGTCAATGGAGCCATGATCATGAAGTCAAGAGATCTGGGTCCTAGTCCAGCAGTGCAATGAGTGTTAGCCACTCAAGTGATACCGGGGCAAATCCTTTCATCTTGCTGGGCCCCAGCGTCCTCACCTGTCCCGTGAGTGATTTGGACTCGGGTTTCTTTTCTAGGGTGATTGACTCAGCCCATGTCTTGGGAAATCCCCCCCTCCAGGGCAAACTGGGACAGGACAGCTGGTCACCCTGCCTTTAGCAAGTCCTCAAATCTGACACCAGGTTTTTAACATGTGCTTGATTAAATGGAATAAAGCTGTTTGCCTCTACCCCACCCCTCAGGAAATATTAAAAGGGAATTCAGCAGCTGAGTCAGGCTGGGACAAAATTCCAAATGTGTAATTTTTAACAGGCCTTTTGGGAAAAGGTTGATTTCAGATTCTGTTAAGAAGTCATCCCTTACAAATGTTCTGGTAAGGGAGGTTTGTATGTTAACAATTAGACAAGAGCTGTTAAAATCTCAGCCGAACAGCTTAAACTATTTCCTACTTTTAATAAATAGCTCGGCTTCTCATGGAACCACCGTAGAACAGTAGGATTCCTTTCCCCCTAAAGTGTGCACTTCTAGGTCACGGGGAAAAAAGCAAAATAAAACCCAGCAACAACAAACAAGCAAAATTAAACTAAGGTCGGCTCCTTGTCTGATCTGCAGCTAAAAGGAAAGCTCAGTCTGGAATATGTTTCAACTTCCCCTCTCTTATGTAGGAATGTGCTGACGTGCCTGCTTGAAACCCCAAATGAGCCCCCTTTACTGGGGAGGATGATTCAGCCAGATTCCAGCTACCATCAGCAAATAGGCAGGGCTGGTGGGAGCGAAGTCAATGAAGATTCTAGGACTGTTAACTTCTAGGGGCCAAATGGAGTCCTGGTTGATTTGGGCAAAAGAGGCATTTCAGCTCAGTCTGTCAGTTGCCTATTTTTAGATTATTTGAGGATTTGACCCTGGGTCCGTGGGCAGTTACAGAGCATTATTGATTTGACTGGTCTTGACAAAGGACCTAAAAGTCAATCTTGGTCCTACATGTACAGCCTCTTCCCCACGAGTACATAGAAATGAAAAAAGGGGTGTCTGGCTGGCTCAGTCAGTAGAGGGTACATCTTGGGGTTGTAAGTTTGAGCCCCACATTGAGTGTAGAGATTACTTAAAAAATAAAATCTTAGGGGCGCCTGGGTGGCGCAGTCGGTTAAGCGTCCGACTTCAGCCAGGTCACGATCTCGCGGTCCGTGAGTTGGAGCCCCGCGTCAGGCTCTGGGCTGATGGCTCGGAGCCTGGAGCCTGTTTCCGATTCTGTGTCTCCCTCTCTCTCTGCCCCTCCCCCGTTCATGCTCTGTCTCTCTCTGTCCCAAAAATAAATAAACGTTGAAAAAAAAAATTAAAAAAAAAAAATAAAATAAAATCTTAAAAAAAAAGAAATGAAAAGACAATTCCCTATATCAATTATTATTCCCTATAGACAATGGTTTAGTGACCCCTTTCTATGGTCTGTCATGATAGAATCTAAGCCTACAGATCAAGTTATATTTTACAAAACTTTTCTACACATACATCATTCAAACTTCACTGAGATAATGTATGTAAAGTAAGACATTATTATCCCCATTTTATAAACACAGAAATGGAAGCCCAGAGAAATTAGGAGTCTCGCCCACAGACACAAACCTGGTAAGTGGCAGAGCTGGGCTCAATCTTAGGTCTTCCTAATTGAAATCAGAACTGTCATTAAAATGCAAACCAAAGTGCATTATTAAAGTATTCCTTCTAGCATTTTTGCTACTCTTTCTCATACTATTGATACCATCTAAAGGTAATGATTAACAGGAGTTTAGAGAGAGTGTTAAAAAGGAAGAAAGTCAGAAACAGTGTTGCATACCACTTACTTTTAAAGGAGCCACAGGAAGAAGAGAAGCCAGCAAAGGGGTCAGAGAAGGGGTGGAGGACTTAACCAGCTCAAGGCTGTCTCCTAAGCCAGGGAGGAGAGAGGAGACTTCATCTGTAAGGACTGATGATTAACAATGACCACTCCGGGGTCTGGTGTTCAGGGAACAAGAGCAAGGGCTTTGGATGGGGGGAGGGGAAGAGATCCAGGGCACAGGTGAGGGCTGGCCTTGGAGAGGAACGTGGGCAGTTGCAGATGGAGGCTTGCAAGAACAGAATAAAAAGATACAGAGGCAGACATTTGATAGCCTTAATGATACCTCTGTAGAAACTCTCTTACTATGTTTTTATTTTCTCAGCAAGCGAGTAGTTTTGAGGAGAGAGGAGAATCAGTGAAATCCTCTCTTTAGAAGGGGAGAGTAAGTCATCTGAGGAAACCGGTTAGGATCTCCAGGCAGCACTAAGGGTTTGAGGTCACTTAAGATTCGATGTCATTGTTGGGTCATAAAGATTGAACCACCAATTCCCAGGCCTCCCTTTGTCCCCACCCCTCAAGTGTGCTCTGCTTTAAAACATATAGCATCTATTATTTTATTCAATCTACAAACATTTGTGTCACAATTAACCTAGTTCCTGGTGCATAGATGCAGTGAGGGCATGTTCTCTCCAGGGTCAGGCTTGGAGGTGGGGAGGGAGGCATGAGAAGGGTTTGGAAAGGTTGATTCCTTTGGGGCTTTGGCATCCATCCCCCATGTACAGAGGGAAACGGATGCTTCTTGCAGGCAGCAAGCTCCCTCGGGATTGAGGGGAGAGGCAACTGGAGAACATGGCTTTAATTTGAGAACTGAGTGAACTTTGACACATCGAACCCCAGAATTAGACATTACTATTTAGGCATACTCACCCAGGCCCAAGCTTCAGTGGACCTCCATAGCATGGAGGAGAAAGGGCTGAAAACAAGTGACCTAATGTGGGCATATCACTGCCAGGAGGAGAAAGGCAAGGAAGGTGTTCCCATCTGATGCAGGTCCCAGTTTCTCCTTCCAAAGTCACCAGTCAGGTACACCATTTTATCTGGAGGGGGTTGGTGGGGGAGGGCAAGTGGGAGAGAAGGAGGCCAGGAATGGGACATAATTTATGTGTCATGGAAGGAAGTAGCAGGTATGGGGATGGAAGTTTCCCTCCGAATAGTCATGAATTGAAAGAAAGGTCTTGGGGACCATGAAAGGCTACCCAGTCCCCTTACCCCTGCTTTAGCCCTGAAGCAAGCACCAGATAGGTAAAAGGGAGTGGGAACTTTGAGGATATAAACAGGAAATTGATGACCATGTTGACCTATGTAATCTGAGCTAACCCAACATGGAAGTGAGATAGTGAAAAGGAGGTAGGACCAATCAATTGGGACCCAAGTGAGGTCAAAGAATGGTTGGCTTTGAAGTTTCAGGGAGAATGTTCTGGAAAGGTCACATAGCCTTCCACATATTTGAAAATCACCATTCTGGTCCTCTTGAGTCTTTTTGCTGCAATGAAACATACCCAGTTTCTTCACTGGTCCTCATATGAGAATATTTCAAGTATATTTTTTAAAAGCCTGGTTGCTTTCTACTAAGCTTGCTCAATCTTGTTCCTGTGAAAAGATGGCACAGGGAGACCATAACAAAGACTCTGTCCTACAGAAGTAGGCAGGGATCCCTTCTTCCCCTGGTCAGAGACACCCTCCCTCAACAGGTACTGGAAGCCATGGATCTTGTTCCCCTTTCAGTGGTTCCCTCCCCCTGATAACTCACCCTGAGCCCTCTGGCTACCACAACCCCTGGGTCTTTTTTGTGCAAGTACTGCTGCCAGATGAGGGCTCTGCCATGGCATACCTGAGTAGTTGGGTTTTTTGGACCTCATGTGTGTATTTACCCATATTAAATAGCAAAGTTCGGAGGAATGATTTCTTTGCGGGTCATTTCAACTTTTACTAAAATTCTTTTTTTTTTTTTTTTAATTTTTTTTTCAACGTTTTTATTTGTTTTTGGGACAGAGAGAGACAGAGCATGAACGGGGGAGGGGCAGAGAGAGAGGGAGACACAGAATCGGAAACAGGCTCCAGGCTCCGAGCCATCAGCCCAGAGCCTGACGCGGGGCTCGAACTCACGGACCGCGAGATCGTGACCTGGCTGAAGTCGGACGCTTAACCGACTGCGGCACCCAGGCGCCCCCAACTTTTACTAAAATTCTTAATGACATTTTTATCAATCTCTTCATCATTTACTATTAGTCTCAGAGTTTTTGGTAGTGAGGGAAGTGTATACTTGGTTTATGCCTATTTTTTTTTTTGAGAGAGAGACAGAGTGTGTGTGTGTGTGTGTGTGTGTGTGTGTGCACAAGTGGAGATGGTGGGGGGGGGGAGAGATAGAGAGAGAGAGAGAGGGAGAAACTTAAGCAGACTCCATGCTCAGCACAGAGCCCAACACATGGCTCGTCCCCCATGATCCTGCGATCATGACCTGAGCCAAATTCAAGAGTTGGACTCTTAGCCAACTGAGCCACCCAGGCACCACATTGATTTATATCTATTGATTTAGCAATCACATACATTTATTGAGAACTTTCCAAAAGGTTGGTACTAGAATACAGCAGTAGCAGACAAACCAGACATGGCCCTGCTTTCACAGAATGTGCAGGGCAGGATCAGAAGGAGCTTGTGGTTTGTGTTTTTGCTTAGGCAAGATTTTAACTTACTGAGAGACCTGAACTTATTTGTTGGAGTTTCTTCTTTTTTTCCTCTCGTTGTAACAGAGGACTTAACTCTTACCCCTTTGAAAGCCAGGCTCCGTACTTGACTTTGGTACTCATCTCCTCTTACCTACTCTCTCTCTTTTCTGGGGGGTTCCCTTCAGCTCATGCACCTGCTCACCTTCAAAACTCCTTTCCTTGATCCACATTGCCCTCTCCAGCCACTGACTATTCCTCGTACTCCCTCACAACAAAACTTCTTGGAAAAGAAAAGAAAAGAAAAGAAAAGAAAAGAAAAGAGAAGAGAAGAGAAGAGAAGAGAAGAGAAGAGAAGAGAAGAGAAGAGAAGAGAAGAGAAGAGAAAAGAAAAGAAAAGAAAAGAAAAGAAAAGAAAAGAAAAGAAAAGAAAAGAAAAGAAAAGAAAAGAAAAGAAAAGAAAAGAAAAGAAAACCTTCCACGTGTGGTGTATTTGAGGCTGGAAAAAGCATGGATGTGTTTGGAACAGCTGTGAGTGCTGTGGCAGAGAGCTGATAAACGAGGAAGAGCACTTTCCAGAGGGGGAGGCCCGGAGATCAAAGCCCTCTGCAAATATTCTGATAGAAGGCAGCTGTGTCATAGCAAAGCAGGCACTGATTTTTCCTCCAAGAATTTTGCAGAGTCCTGGTCCTACCATTTTTTAGCTGATGTGACCCCGGTCAAGTTACTCAACTTCTTTGAGCCTCTGTGGTCCTCATCTATCAAGTGGAGGCAGAGACATCTCCCCCATAAGTTTTTTTGTGATAATGAAATAGAATTCCTGAAAGTGTGAAACAAATATTTGTAAGTATTATTGTACAGAAATATTTCTTCACTCCATTTAAAGGAAGGGGTCCACCCCAGTCCGAGTCTGGGCTCCTCCAAAATGAAAGTGTGAGGGGCGCCTGGGTGGCGCAGTCGGTTAAGCGTCCGACTTCAGCCAGGTCACGATCTCGCGGTCCTTGAGTTCGAGCCCCGCGTCGGGCTCTGGGCTGGTGGCTCGGAGCCTGGAGCCTGTTTCCAATTCTGTGTCTCCCTCTCTCTCTGCCCCTCCCCCGTTCATGCTCTGTCTCTCTCTGTCCCAAAAATAAATAAAAACGTTGAAAAAAAAATTAAAAAAAAAAAAAAATGAAAGTGTGAGCCAAAGGCTCGCACACACAGCCCCCATGTTGTACATTTGGGAATGTGATCCTGAGGAGCAGGACTGGGAAGAGGAGGAGTAAACAGGGAAGGAGGGAGGGAAGGGCTGTTCAAGGATGTGTTACTAAATTGGTCAGGGCTATAGGAACTGCAGGTGACTGGTGCTCAATCCCAGATGAGCTTCTGAGGAGTCTTATGACAAGCGTTTCAGAACTGTCCCCTCAGAGGACTTAAAGGGGAGAATTTATCCAAGGATTTCTCCAATGATCAAGGGTGGCCTGGTGGGCATTGACTGGGCGGTACATACCCGAGTTGCAAGTGGAAGGCCATGTCACATACCTTTGCAATTTACTCAGAATGGGTGCCTGGAGCAGTGGCTGGAGTAAGAGGTGGGGTCAGGAGGACTTAAAATGCTGCACAAGATATAGCCCATCCAACACAAATGGAAACGAAGAAGATGGTGACATGACTTGGCTTTCGCATTTATAGCAGGGATCATAAGCCACTTCCTTGGAGAAAAAGAGAGTAGCCATTAGTTATCTATCCTGTGTTTTTCCAGACACTGTGTGTTTCTGTGCAACCAAGAAATACAATCCCCAAATGCCCTGCCTGGCTTTGTGTACCCAACTATAAGTAGAGAAAGTAGGACCTAACTGAAAGAGATTCAGACGGAGGCCTTGAGTAGGCTGCTTAATTTCTCCCGTGAAGCAAGGGCAGGCTTATGGGGTAAATTGCTACTACTGCTGGTACTATCTTTCCTCCCTATATTATAGAGGTTTGGGGGGAGAGTGGCAGGGAGAAGGGAAATTCATGTGAACATATTTTGTAAACTAGTTAAAATTATTCCCATTTGGGTATCATTAAACATTGATCACTAAAGTCTGTTTTTCTAAGATATTCTTTTTTTAAAGTTTATTTATCTGTTTTTAGAAAGATAGATGGGGAGGGGGTAGGAAGGGGGAGAGAGAGAGAGAGAGAGAGAGAGAGAGAGAGAGGAGAGAG